ATATTATCAATTGTGATAAATGATTTAAAAAAGTTATAAATGTTTTTATATAGTTTATTAGGTACAATTCAAAGTTGTCTACCTTTTCTGCAAAGTGCGAAAAAATTCCACCCATTTTTAAGTGAGGATAGACACCATACTTTGAATTTTTATTATTACATTTCTTATAATCAAATAAATAAAATGTTTGTACTGCAATATATATTTTTTGGCTCAGTTAGTACCACCTTCCCCTACATATACTCGTAGGTAGGTAATGAGGTATTAGCAATGTAAGTTGTTTTTATTATTACTTACATGTATGTGAACGAAATGTAAATAATGTAAATAAATTGTTTTTGATTTGATTTTTGGTTCTTGTCCGATCACCGAAGTTGAGCAACGTCGGGCGCGGTCAGTACTTGGATGGGTGACCGCTTGGGAACACCGCGTGCCGTTGTCTCCTTTTTTTTTCTAATTTTCGCTTCCTTTTGACACATATTTAGCGATACTACTTTTACACTTTGCGAAATTTAAAATTGTTTCGTTTTGTGCATTTTTCGGGACGTTTGTATTCTCTTTGCGATTTTAACGAACTCTCCTTTATTCATCGAAATATTTATTTACGTTCGATTAGAAAAGTGCTCAAAATTGGTAAATTTGCGACACGTTTGAATCCTTTGCGTGCATCTCTTTGTTCTTCTTCTGACGAATAATTTCTACTATTATTTCCCTTAGATCACCATATTTCTCGACAACGGCCATACCACGTTGAAAACACCGGTTCTCGTCCGATCACCGAAGTTAAGCAACGTCGGGCGCGGTCAGTACTTGGATGGCTGACCGCTTGGGAACACCGCGTGCCGTTGTCTCCTTTTTTTTTCTAATTTTCGCTTCCTTTTGACACATATTTAGCGATAACTACTTTTACACTTTGCGAAATTGAAAATTGTTTCGTTTTGTGCATTTTTCGGGACTTTTGTATTCCCTTTGCGATTTTAACGAAATTTCCTTCATTCGGTGTAGTGTCATGATCGAATATTTCATCAAAGGACTGTTCTACTCAATACTGGTGAAGTTATCAGGAGAATCAGCAGTGTGCTTAGGGCGTGTTTGTGTGCCCCCTTCAGTGTCATCCTCATCACAAAAAGTAATATCATCTTCGGGAGAATGATGGTTCTCCCTAACAAACATTTGCACCCTATCACCCTCTCATTGATTTCATTATCTCTAGTATGATCATCATCAATTGACGTAAACATCTAACATAAACGGTTTTTTGTGCAAATAAATGACACATAACAGCACCATCTAAAACTGTTCCTTGCGCCAAATTTGGTTTCACTAATGTTCCACCGAATGGTATTAAAATTTCGAACTTTACATCACAACCATGTAATTTCTCTGCAAACAAAGTTGAAATATAATGCATAATCTCTTGTTCTGTCTATATTTTCTGAAATGTTGCAGCTGTTACACCATAACACACTAACACTAAGTGTAGGTACTACCATTTGCATAAGCCCAACCTTTTTTCAATCCTGTTAATGTTCTCGTGCATTCTGGTTTGGTAATTAAAATAGTATAACATCCCGTTTAAAATCTGATAATACAGTTGAATTGTGTTTAGGTTTTTTTCTTTTTTTTGTGTCCTACAGCATTTGAAAGGTTTCTGCTAGGTACTTCCTTATCAGTATAGCGAAACATACAAATAATTCAAAATAAAATAGAATTCTGTCTAATATAAATTTTAAGGTCTGTATTTCCTCAATAGATGGCGCTGGTAGTAATATATATTAACAATAATCAGAAATAACTCAAACTTAAATATGTTTCTACAGGTGGTCATCATTATCATTTTTCTGATTTCCTTGTTATTTGGAAATTTTCATAGGCAATTCTAGAATAAGGCGAGCATGGTCCAGCTTAGCGAACTTAATTGTAATTATTAAGATACCTTGTGGAGTTCGTCTCTTATATTTAGGTAAGTTCATAGTACTGTGTAATTTAGGTTCGTACTTAAGTTAAGTGATGTTTTTATCTAAGACATGTGCTGATATTCGTTTCTTATATTTAGAAAGCTATCAAATTACGACTATTCCCGATTAAGACTATAACACCCGATTTGTGACCAATTAATAAACCGACTACGATCAGTGCATCTTTTATATTCCCGCACTCGACCCCGGCGACCCGTTCCAATAACCAATCCAAGGGAGCGATTCCGGTTTATCAGAGCTCCTTATAGATGGAAATAATGTCCGTAGCTCCTCCTCAGGTGAAGAGACGGGTATTCTTGTGGATGTTTGTAAGCCTATTGCACTCGCTGTTGCATTATTAACCCTACTGGAAGAGGCGCTTTCAATCGAGGAGCGTAACTGGTCGCGGAATTAAGTGCTTTGCAAAATCTCTGCCACTACATTCCGCAAATCTTGCGGTGTAGTCTATACCTGTCCTGAGCTATTCATCTTTAATGTGGCACAAAAACGGTGTTATCAAATTACTTTTATGTACGAGTTATATGACAATTGACACATTTGTAAGAGCTACACTGGACAATGAGTCTTCTTAACTTTTTAATACAGTTTGCCAAAACAAGAAAGTCTTCCTTTATGTCAGCGAAAGAGAGGCAAGAAACTTTGTTTATACGGCATACGATGTATCTATATTGGGTACCAAAATGTATATACTTTATATTATGTGTATTTTTATTTTGATAATTCCTGTAATAGGCATTATTGCTGTTGGAATTAAATAATAATAAATAAATTGTGATTACGGATAATTGTATAATTGATGTCATTACAGTAATTGGAAAGTGCAATATAGGGTACAGAGATAATAGAAACGAGGACCTCCTATCGTTAATGAACCAGGGCACCATGGTAATTTCTTGGAACCACTTTTATTGTTAAAAAAATTCGCCCATTGCTAAATTCACATATGTCAACAGCGTTATTTGTGAAAAACAAAGAAAAAGCACCCGGGAAAGCCAAGACGAGGACAATTAAAACCAACGGTCACTATAATTACACAATAGTAAAAAATTTAAGTAATAAAACGTCAAATTTAAGAACAAGTTATCAAGGCAAAGTTATTGTTGATACTGCTCAAAACATTAAAGAGACTATTTCTATAGAACTAAATGTTAACCCGCGACTCCCAACTCTAAAAAATGGGCCGATAAATATTTTCCCCGGGCCGCTTAAAGGTTACCAGTCCGCCTCTGATCCGAATGTTCTGCTTGCTCTAGGTCTAGAGTAACGTCTCGTAACGCTGCGACAAGCTCTTCTTCATATAGGTGCGCTAGCAGCTGGAGCATTTGTTATGTTTAATGTTTCCACAATCGCGTATCCCATGATCCATCTGTAGTATATTTAAATCTCTGATAAAACCCACTACAAATTAGTGCAGCGGAGAGCCGGCGCTAACTCGCTTATTTGAGGTAGTTTTTTTTTTCGGAGTAGAAAGAATTGGGACCCACACCATTTTGTTCAGAAATGTTTGAACCTTCAGAATCTCGCTTTACGACATTTTCCCGTGGTCCTGAGAAAAGTTATACGCCGCTAAAGTTGAAATTTACTCATTTTCGCGCGCGCGACTAGACCACCGAAAGTATTTGTTTTCTCAGCAACTAAGCGATATACATCAATCATTCCTTTTGTAAAATGAAAGTACATTTATAGCAGAATCTAAAGCATTCATATTTACCTACCTTGTTATGCACAGTTTTTAGAAAAATAACCGTCAACTTCCAAAATTTGTGTAGCAGATGAAAAGTGCGCACTTTGAACTCTCATAACTTTTTATTTCACGATATCGATTTCCAATATTTATAGCTCATTCGATGCTCCAAAGCATTGTGATTATTTTATTTTCTATAACATTACCGTGAATTTTTCACTTATAATTGCACAAGAGGTTTGTATTTTACCGAGTAAATTTGGGTTGTTTAGGTAATGAAAATTTGTTGCCTAGCAATTAGACAAGAAAAACTGTCAACTAATAAAAATGCGACACCGCAGGTGGAGCATTTTTAGGTTGACAGTTTTTCGAGTTCAATTGCTAAAAGGATACAGATTTGAGTTGCAACAACCCAAATTTACTCGGTTTAATACAAACCTCGAGTGTAATTCGGCAGGACAATTTAACGAACAAGAAATTCACGAAACTAATCAATTATTGACAGACGTCAAACTAGTCATATGGGAAAGGATAATGCGATAATTGGTTCGAAAATGAATAGTGAAAAAACCACTAGTGCATTTGTCGCTGGAAAAGATGCAGGTAACTTTTGCCGCTGTCAAAGTGACAATTGCACTGCGGCTTATGCGATTTTTTGTACATGAGTTGAATTGTCTATAACATTACCGTGAATTTTTCATAATAAAAAAGTTACGGTCATTTAAGTAAAAACCTACCGACCTCGCCGAGT